TTTGTGTTCGCTGTTCTCGCTGCTGCCGTTTAACGTAAGGCACACCATCGAACGCTACTTGGGCAAAGAGCGTCGCATATCTGAGCATCGGATCGGAAATAACCACAGGCCGTTTGCCTCCGACCTTCAATGACGGACCACGGCTATCTCACAGGCAAAGAAACGAATAGAAATAAAACGAATTTTTCTTGCTTTTCTTGTCTACCACTGACCAAGATCGTTCGTAAGCAATTTGCTCAGCAAGCAGGAGCAGGGAGCCAAGAAACGAATACCTTCGTCTGCAGTTATGTACACAACGCAAGAACAACCACAGGTGCCTAGCCAAATAGATGACTTAGCAGGGCATCACATAGCGCCGTCGTTCATCAACTTCACACATCCCTTAAATGAAACGAGACAGTCATAACCTACACGACGCAGACAGAACAAAAACGCGATAGCTACACCAGTTGTGAAGTGCCGAAATACTGAAGCTTCAGGGTAAAATAAAACAAAACAAGCACTAACTTATAGAGCCATGACAAGAGATTTTCGGTACCTAAGTCCCGATGGACATTTTACACTCCACGCAACGCGAATCGACAAAATCTGACGCAAGGAAGGAAACGAAATACCAGGAAATAACTACAAGACCATAGATGATGGCGAACACTTCGATTCACTCTGAGGCTGCTTTTTACCGAGGCATTATAGCGTACCGAACGAGCCGAAAGAAACCAGCAACCGTCATCATCACTTCGATTTGAGCAAACAAGACAAATGCTCGTTTGCTTTGCCTCACCGTCACCGCGAAACTCCTCTGCCCGGCGACTCATCGAAAATTCATCATGTACTGCGAAAATAGACGAACAATAAAATTAACACGACGTAACTTAGCCTATCAAATCATGCTCAAAACGAAGCCATGCATCGGCAGCCGTTTCCATAACCAAAACCGATCGCCATACTCATCACGTTAAGCCCTTCCACCTGGTACTCCTCTAACGGGACGTAGCTACTAGTTTCAACAGATTTGCAGGTTCAGTAGTTCTCTATGATGATTGGGGCACTTGTATCGAAGGACACGATGAACGGTTTCAAAAGGCAGATTTTAAACTGTATATACTGCCATAATAATGCATCGCTATTATAATTTAGAAATTCGTTCTGAACTGGTTCCTACTTTAAATAGTCGTAAAACAATTTTTTCATAGATTTGTGGTGTTTCGGCGTTATATTGAAGTTTCATTTGATTACTTTTCTAGGTAAGAAACTTTATCTAAAAAAGAGAAAACTGTTTACCATAATCTCTTCTTCGATGAAAAAATCTGTTTTTGCTGAATCAAAAAGGTCAGAAGTAAAAGTGTATGTTCTAAATTCACTTTTTGCCTAATATTTGTACTGTCTCTTTCGTATCGAAAATTCCATCCTTTTAAGGAAACGCCAATGAGGCATTTTTCAGTATATGAATAAGAAGCACATGCATAAACGAACTGACAGCTAAATAATGGTAGATATAGGAAAATGCCTGCACTATAACGGCTTTATTGATGGCGGCAGATAGTAACATGAGGGAAAAAATAAATCGACAATTCTTAATCGATAAATTTCCGGAATATAAAGATTCTGCAGATTATGTGCCTCACTCGGGATGGAGAAAAGAGATCCTGAAAGTTGTTAAGAACAAGTTTTAATGCCAAGCAAGACAATTCACTTCGGCGATGGAAGAATAGTACTTTGAAGAAGCTTGACTTCTGTCAACCGCAGGAAAACTCAGCTGAACAGCATAATGCGTCAGATATTAGTCTTTCATCAGAGAATTACACAGAAACAGTAGAAGGTTTGAAGTGTAGCAGGAATGATTGAATCGATTAAATATGACCTGGGATTCTTAAGGCTTTATGGAAACGTGTTGTCTCGAATACATGTGTGAAACTGCAATGGCTAAGAGAGAGGCATGAATGGATAAAAAAACTGAAGGCTGTAGTACCCTTGTTTATAGCGGCGGACAATACCGAGCCCTGCAATAGTGTGGACATTACATCATCGAGCTTTACGGGAAAAATTTACGCTAAGGTTTTAGAATGGACGTTGAGCAGAGTAACTGACAAAGAAACAAGAGCAGCGTGACTTCATACCAGGTCAAAGCATCTGTGACTAGAACTTCGACTTACGCCAGATTGATGAAAAATCTGGCGAATCAGCCTATCCGGTTTACATATGCTTTGTGGACCATAATCGCATACGAAAAGATACCCGCGTGCTTGCACGCACGTAAAGTCGATGGTTAGTTGCTACCAGATCTTCGCCAAAACTGCGTTCTGTCCTCTCTCCTGTTTACGATGTATATGAATAGAATGGTCAGTCGCAGTCAGGACGATGAGTGTATGTGCGATCAGACGTCGAGGAGAGAAGGTTGCTTTTCGTAGACGACCTTCTTTTGTTGTAATCTTCTGAAACTGATCTTTAGCGTTCCACAAAAAAATTTAGAGACGAGTGCGACGCGGCTGGCGTGCATCTGAATATGTCTAAAATCAAAAGCCCATTGCGCTCTGAAAATCAAAGGAGAAGCAGCGAAAGACGTGAAGAAATTCACTTAATTCAGGTTCGTGTTTACTGGTGATGGAAAGTAGGTAGAAGGAACTTATATGAGAATTGGAATGACCAAGATCTTTCTACGTGAACAAGCCGGAACAGTTGTGACTAAAGCAAAGTTGAGCTGAAGTTAAAGCTCTCTTTTTTCAAGTCGATCTTCATTCCGGTTCTCACCTACGGTCAGAACTCGTTAGCCATGACTGATGAACTTTGATCCGTGGTACAATCGGCTGAAACCATTACTCTGAGTCGAATCTCTGGGTTCACGCGTCTCGACAGGATCCGGAGTAGAGATATCTGAGACAGTTTTGGTATACAGTCCCTGATTCTACTGACTGATAAATCATTGCTGCGATGGTCTGGGCGCATCGTACGAATGGTTCCAGGAAGTTGTTGTTGTTATCATCGACGTTTGGGGTATCAAGGATCGAGTACCTGGGTCAACGATGCCAGACGCATGGGCTTATCACAGGAAAAAGAAACAGTTACTACTTTCCCTAGCGACCGTCAAAAGATCCCGTGAACGTCCAAGAATAATCAGGGGCAGTTGTGTCAAAAGACTCTTTCAGACTCAGGTTATTTTCTGCTGGAGCTCGAACGCTGGCACAGGATTGAGAACGTTGGAAGCACTGTTTACACTCCGGCCTCCGTGACCCGAAAGGATATGCAGTCATCGAAATTGACTGGCCGATATAGGCAGTTTTTAAATTTAAAAACAAAAGCACACGACGTGTGGTTTCTGCAGTAAGAAGGGCTGATATTCCTTATAAGCGACTGCATAAACATCATAAATTGTTCGTCGCCCGAGTATGTCAAATTACTAGCGACTCCTCCAAGAACAGATGGAGGCATTGCACTGTTCCCTAGCCCCTAGTTACCTTGGAGGCATTTAATTTAAGAAGGTTACGACTCCATGGTATTTGGGTACTTAGTAAATATTGCTAGATACGTTTGGCACTGCAAGGGTAATAACAGATATATTGCATATTCAGGTGAGCAGTAACCTCCTTCGCACGACATGATCTGTAGTCAGACCCATAAGGAGCTGATGTCTGATTAACAACAGCATTTCACTAGCATACAACACGATGAATAAAGGACTACAGAAGACCTCAGTAGCCCAAGTACGCTGGACATCCGTGCCAATTTCGCGGCAATCGTTCTCCATGACTACCTGTCGCCCAAATGATCAACACTGCCGAAAACATGGCTAACTCTTAGACTCTTACGATAGCTAAAATTCGTTCAACGGTTCCTCTGTCTTAAAGTCGCCAAGTCTGTGGCATGATGTCGGTGATCTCTGATTCCCCCCTTGCTAATGAATTATACTGTGAATAATGAAATTCTGAATTTTAAAACTGACAAGCAATTCGTTACACATCATTGCCAGACGACCTCATACACGCTCTGCTTGGTCTCTTCCTACGAGTTCGCTGCCTCCACTTGTTTCACAGTCAGTCAAAGTGGACCATATGCTGACTCAAGGTTCCAAGTGCAAAGATTTCGACGACGTCAGAATGCGGCTTCATCATCTCGTCAGTCCGTCCGTGCTAGCCATGTCTTCACTCGGCCCTGCGTTCAAGCACAACGAGAATCGGTGCAATTTCATCACTTGGCTGCAGAGAAGAACCAGCTATAACCAAGTAATGTCAGCTGCGCCAATAAGAAGATTCTCGTGCCGCAGTCGGCGTTAACTCCGAGTCGTAAAGGCCGTCGTAACGCTAATGCATGGAAAGCAACGGCTTCCTGACTTTTTCGATCGTCAGGCTGCCGTAACGTGATCGTCTCCGTCAGGCTCCCCCGAAGGCCCCCGCCACTTAGCAGCACCGTAACGATAGAGTGAAATGCTTGATCATCAATTCAGATAGATTTGAATCAGCTACGCGAAAATATGATGCTTGAAATATGACGTAAAAACAGTTCAAACCTTCAGTGGATCGGTAGAGAAGTTCGAATCATTTGAATCATTAGGAACTAGAACTAGAATGATAAACGTCACATCATTCCTAGCAGGTAAATGGCATAACCGTCCATCAAGGGTACATAATGAAACAAATATAAAGACGGGGAACATCTTATCTTCCTAAGGTCTGAACTGAGAAGGACGACTCAAGACAAGGGAGAAGTCAAGACGAAGAATGCTCTATTAATTATATCGATCATGGAAAAG